CAAGTGATTGGTTGGAGAATTTCATCATGAGCTGACGATTAGTCAAAGTGACTTTATATATGTCACCCAACAAATATGCTGAAACAGCTCAAGCTGGATGACTTGATACACCGAGGAGACTCGCTGAGTGACACCACACTCTGACCAGGCCCTCGGGTGGAACCTGAATAGGAAACGATGAGTTGGGCGTCAGTTTAAAAAAAGAGGAAATGGAGGAGATCATGTGAAAAGAGATATGAAAGCTTTTTTGTTAATCGTGGAGTCAATTGAAAAAGACTGCAGAGAAGAAGGTGAAACAGAGATATGCCACTGAAGGCCTATATGCTCCACTTGAAATCCAACGGAATAATACTAATGGTGTGTCTAATAAAGTTGTAATAACCGTCTCAGGCAAAGTTTTTGTCTTCCAATGTTTTCTTGACTCAGTGAAGCATAAGACGTATGTGAAGCTGAACAGTAACATTCTGTATTCAGCTGACTTGCTCACTGCGCTTCAGTATCACTGTACCCATGTATTAATTCACCCTCGTAAACGATCCAGTACGGCTGAGGGTGCGTAGACTTCACGCTTGAGATGCTCTCTAGTGGCCCTGCGCCTATAGCCTCTCACAGGTGAGTCCTATTTACTGCCTTCACGTTACGGTGGGAGTGTTCCTTAAAAAAGTAAAAGGGGTGAGTGTAAACGTCTGACGCCTTCAGCTGGATTGGTGGACATGCAGTCTTTCTAGGGTGATGCTTGCAATTGCAGAGGCTTGTGCAATTCGAGTTTACAAACCAGGTCTCTGTACACAAAAGGAGATGGTCGTGACTCTGAATCTACCATGGTAATACGTTTTACTTATAATTCTACCTCTTATTATTATTATTATTACTATTATTATTCTCATTATTATTATTCTTGATTCATTTAAAACTATCCCTTATCAGTAGCATTATCTTAACCCACTTCAACACTATTATTGTTGTTATATTATATTATTGTTATTATAACTATTACTATTGACATCCCTCTGGTTGCAATTCTTGTTAAATTCTCTAATGTCTAATTGTTTATCTAAGTGATGTAATTGAAGCGTAATGCAATTTATCTTAATTTTGATCTCCCATACTCTCTCCCCTTAACTTATTGCACATGACCTGGAAAAACATTCGCACCTGTCTTTCTGCATGACTAATTCAATGTAGTTTGTTTACTTATCAGTCCTATATCTCCCAAAGTAATTTCGAAACTATATATATCCGTGTATGTAAAGTATTCAGTCCTATATCTCCCAATGTAACTTCAAAAGTATATATCCGTGTATGTAGAGTATTCAGCTGACGAGTTCTACCGAAATTTGATGAATTCATTAAATCCTGCTTTATTAACCTTTATTGCTTGTTTCTAGGGTGTGTTAGAAAGCCTTAATTCCAAACCTATATTATACATGAGCTCTAGAATCCGAACGAATCGAATGACATATGCAGATGTTTGGGTCACAGGAAATCATGGGAGTGCAGTTTCTGACGCTGATTCACTGCTCTGTGGGCCAGACTTCAAGTCAAAGACTCTGGAGGGGGCGTTCTATGTTCTGTGTTAAGCAGTATAGTATTATGAGTAATAGTCAAGTTAGACGTAGAGTATTAGGTAAGAAGAGTGAGTCAGTTGACGAGGCTATGAAACTAAATCGATTGAGATAGTTAGGACACATGTTGCACATGCCAAGACATCGCCTTTCTCGACTGGCAATCTTAGCTTACATTGTATTAGGATTGAAAAGTGTTAGTGGTGGCATCAGTCTAATTAGCCTTTGAAAGTCACTCCGAGCCATCTATTCTGATAAAGTTGTAGAATGTCCAGTTGGGGAACTCTAGATGCTAAGAATCAATGACTTGAAACTATTGGTGATATGGCTCAAAATCATTCTCAATGGTACGTATACATTCACACATTCTTTGATCTTCTACAACCACTAAACCTCCATGTTCTTCCACACTACTATTCTTTATCCTGTACATTTGTGCTCAGTATAGTTCCTTTGAATCTTTTTTTCTCTCTATTTCACCTACATCACGTACTAGACTGAGTGTGAAAACTTGGACTTCTGCACTTCTGAGTAAATTTCTACGTTAAAACTCAGACTCAGTCAGTATAACTGCTTATTTTGCGGAATAAGATGCCTTCTTGAATCCGGTTGGTCATGTCACTTTATGCGGTAAGAAATATCCATAATTTCCTTTGGGAAAACTAAATTTTCAAGTATTGGTTTTGTAACGAATTATGCTTGATTGGTTGGTTGGAGGATCTTATCATCATGTGAGATCAGTTAGAGAATCATTGCATTTGACATCATTGGAAAACCAGCAACAGGGAGTACTGGTCAGCTGTTTCCCCTGTCCCAGTTTGGGACTTTTCAGCAGTACGCGCCCACTCCACTGAGGTTCGAACCCAGGACCTACTGGTTACAAGGTGAGCTAGCTCGTAGACCATTAAGTCACCGAGACTCGATCCAGTGGCCAGTCCATGAATTCCAGCTTCTGCCAATTGACGACATAGTGCGATCACTTCTCAACGTCTTCTTCGACGAGTTACTGCCTCACCTACAACCTGCTGTATCCCACTGGTCACGAGGTCCCACTAGAATTCTAGGTAACTAACTTCCTGAATAGTACCAGTCGCTAGTCTAACCTCAGTGAGTGTGTACTGATGGAGCAGAACCCCAAACTAGGCTGACAAAACAGCTGGCTGCCCAGTACTCCCTGCAGGCTTTCAAATGGTTTTCTAACTGATATCAGCTCATGATGAAATCCCCCAAACAATCAAACAGAATTTTGTTCAGATCATAAAGCATTTGATAATCCTGATATCCTACTTCAAATGACAATGAACAGAGCAAGCGAAATGGACTGCATGGTATCATTATATACTACTGACTGATCGATACGAGTAGTAGAAAAATACTCACGTCAACCAGCAGTACTTGCGAGTCAGTGGCCGAAATGATCTTTGCACCAGTTCGGCTAATAAAAACTACTAAAATTTCAGATGAATTGCTTAAAACTATTGATATCAGTAAATTAGTAGTATGTTTATACTTACCATTATTATTATTATTATTATTATTATTATTATTATTATGACCATTCATTTTAGATTGATCAATTTGAATTGTTTGTTCTTCAGACGACATACTCTCATTAGACTGAAAAAAACAAAACAAAAGTTTTAGAAGAAAAAACATGTATTGAATGAACCTGATTTGAAGAGAATTTTTAGTAAAGGTTTTGTGGTGAGATCTGGCTGCAAGCCAAAAATTGTAGACAGCAGTTTTCGTCAGTGTTACGTCCTGAATCAACGTCATGAGAAAAAAAACCCAATAACAAAGCTTAACCTTGAGGAACTCAACAGCCAATCACAGCAGACTTAATCTGTGCAAATACGATTCGCAGATATGTGGCTTAATTTTCTAAGAAACAGCCGCAAAGAGATGACAGAATGACCTTCAGCAAGAAAACAACCAATCGGAACTCTTTGTTTCTCTTTGTTAACAATAATGCTAATAATAATGTACATAAAAATTTATAAATAACTGTTGATTTTCTCAATAGAGGATCTGTTGCCTGACCCTTGTCTTCTGTCGTTACAGTGTTAGTATATAACAACAGATCAGGTGGATATGGAGAATTCCAACATTATGAAATACTCTGAGGCTGAATGCTTCAATGGTAGCCTCTCCGACTACATCTACTGGTGACACATCCTCGAGGTTACAGATACACCTAGCTGATGAGTGGTGACAAGCACGAAACTGGGGTCCAGGGTCTCACATAGATTGCCTTCAACCCCCTTCCTCCGAAGATGGTGACCCACCTACCTTATTGGTGACGCTATAGAAAACTCGGCTGACACATTCAGGTCGTTAGCAACACCAAAGCTTAGAAACATGAAATCTGTCACCATGTAGTTCCCAGTTGGAGTAGAGTAGAACTCAATATTAGACGTGTTTATCTCATATAATACACAGTGATACAGTGTAAGCAGATATAGAAACCATTTTTAATTAATGTTACATATTTGTATTCTCCACTGAATGATAAACAGAACGAAATTGTTGTTTTTACTGACATTCTGCTCTATTTCATGCTGCTAATAGCCTTCATCAAATTAGTAACAGTTATCAATAATTTACAGTTTTCAACACGGACCATATTTATTACATCGGATATTAACTCCACTTTCAAACTTGGTCATGAAATGACTTTAACTGGAGGAGCATTGAAAACCGCCAAGGAGTACTGGACAACTGCTTCCTCTTCGGCTAGACTAGTACCTATGGGCAGTCGTAGAGACAGCTAAACAGAAGTATAGAGAACAGGGTCAAAGGGAGATGTGTCACTGTTGAAGCCCTATGTTCCTCTTCGAACCCAAGGGAATAATAATCACAGAATTAGTAAAATCACAATAACTTACTTGGCTATTATCGTTATTATTATTATTATTACTAATAATATTGTCATTATTTCCATTGCAGATATCATTCTTTATGTTACTTTTCACGATAATATGATGTACATGATCGTCAGCAGATTTCGACACCGTTTTACCATTGACTTCTTGATCGCTTCCATTAGCTTCTTTTCCAGCCGGTTTATTGTTTATAAGTGACAGAGGAGGTAGTGGTGGCTTAGGCATTCTTCCCTTGTCAACTTGTCCAATTGTGGCTTGTCTATCTATACATTTCTGAGCATTTTCTTCAACATAATGCCCATTATTATTATTATTATTATTATTATTATTAATATTTATTGTGTATTTATTAGGCTTTAAAGAATTCTCAGATATCTCAGTTATCTCTGAAATATTCGCTATATCATCCGATTCTGATGAATCCCATAATGAATCACATTTCTCATTTGTCGGTTGACTATGATACTGCCCATGTTGTTCATATTGACTATCTGCTTGACTATTATTTCCATTAGTTTGATGGTTATCCTTATTATTTTTATTATTATTAATTATATTACTGAAATCATAAATAGTAGTACTAGTAGTAGTATGCGTATTTTGATCACGTTTTTCTTTACTTTCCAACTGTTGACGTCCTCCACCTATTGATGATGAATACAACGGAGGTAGACCAGACACTATTGATGAGCCCGATGACGCTGACGAAGTGAATGATGATGTTGACAGTGATGAATTCACCTCGGGTTCTTCATCTCTTTTAATACTTTGACTATACAAAATGATTGTTGGTTGAGGTATTTCTGACTTTTGACATTCCTTTTTATCTGCTTCTCCTTCTTCTCCAGCAGTTTTGTTCTTCTCAGCCTCTCTATCGTTGTCCCCTTCTTGTTGTTGACGATACAATCTTGATACTAGAATGCTCCGTGTTTCCGATAAAGCTCGTTGTAGTCTGTCATTACCGCCAGATCTACTATCATAACCATTATTATTACTATTATTATTATTATTAGTAGTAGTATTGTCTGCAATATCAGAAGTACTGATAAGCCTTCGTCTGTACGGTGAAGCAGACGATGCTGATAATGATTCTGGTGTTGTTGTTGTTCCACCATCTTGATGAATTGGTTCACCTTCATCCTTGATAATTAGTAGAGATGATCTGAACTTTTTGTTAGAAGCAGTATTATTATTATTATTGATCCCTGTGTTCATGGCTCGAAGTAGCCGACCATGTGGAGTATTACTGCTATTATTATTATTATTGCTATTATTATTATTAGTAGTATGATTATATGGACGATAAAGTTGTTTTTCTGACTTAGTTGACATTAATTTCTCATTCCTATGGCCAGCATTTGTACTTTTGACGACACCGATACTACTGATACCGTTGTTGTTAGTAGTATTGGTGACAATGTTAGTATTGATAATTGGTTCCTCAATAATATTATTATTGTTATTATTACTACAATCACTGATTATCGCTTGTCGACTATATCCAGATGTGTGAAAACTAAGCGATCGATGGGTATTTCGACGTCTGAGGTCAGCACGTATAAAACTTGTCCGACTGTGCTTGCTGCCACTGTTGCTGCTGCTGCTGCTGCTGTTGGAATTCATCACGGGAGGAGTTCCATTACTGCTATTACTACTACTACTAATGCTATTGTTGTGTATATTGTTACCATTGCCATTGCTATTGCTACTGCCATTTGTATTACCTTGATTGATAAAAACAAAGACAAAAACGATATATTTAATAGAAGTTTAACCCTGAAAAAATGGGAATTCTGTACAGATCTGGCGAAAAATTGGCATCAATCAGACAAGTTTAAAATTTGATTCCTTCACGAAACAATATCAGTTAAAAAACCATGCGGCGGCTGTTTCTGCCTAGCCTTGGATTTTTCAGCAGTCTGCACCCAGTGTCCCCACTCAGCGAGATCGAACACAGGACCTTCAAGATACAGAACCAGTCCCGGTTACCGTTTTTACCAACTTGAGACGAAATTCAATGACTGCTTGCATTCTGTATTAATATAATTTTGTAGTACAGCGTTACGGCTAACTGGTGTCATCGATGGTCATTCACTCTTACATTGTGACATGGTAGTAGACAATCCAACCGGTTACCATTAGCGAGCATGGCTTCATTAGATCCTAAAATGCTTGTGTCTAATTCTTGGTGGTTTCGTGAGTACTCGCCGAAGAAGAGACTCTAAATGGGATGGGACAATTGTTGTATTCAGCATGATCCTTAGAACCCTGATACCCCTGCCTCATCAAGCTTATAGCTGTCAGTTCTTGAGGAAAGAACATTGCCACCAAGAGAATCTGTTTAGGAGTTCAGAGGTCTTTATTTTTTCACCTCTGTTAATGCTTCACATAGTATGACTGTAATATCACTTGATCTCATTGACCTTAGGAGTGACCAGAGTTCAGGTAATACACCTAACTGATAGTACTCGAAAAAAACGAGAGTTACTAATTTCCAATCCAGTTGCTTTTAATAATAGCCTATTTATTAGGATAAATGATGACATTGGATCTAAGTCTCGAACCAACCAGTGAGTACTGGAGAGCTGTTTCGTCCTAGTTTGAGACTCTTCATCAGTACGCACTCATCAGGGTTCGGACCCAGGACCTTCTAGTCACAAGGCTGGCTAACGAGCTCATAGACCATTAACCCACTCACTGGGAACCGATCCAATGACCAGACAATGAATTCTAACTTCTGCCAATTCATGACATAGCGCGACCGCTATCCAATGTTACCCGTGATGAGTATTTGTCCTCACACCCGACCTGCCACACTCTACTTGTCGCGACTTGGATCGGGTCCCAGTGTTTCTTAATGGTCTACGAGCTCGCCTTGTAACCAGAAGGTCGTGGGTTTGAACCCTTGTGGTGGGTGCGTAGTGCCGAAGAGTCCCAAACTAGGAAGGAGGAAACAGCTGCCCAGTACTCCCTGCAGGTTTACCAATGGTTCTCTAACCAATATCAGCCCATGATGAAATCCTGTAACCAATCAATCATATCCCTACAAACCAATACTTGAATATCGTGTACACTGTGTTTCAGCTCTATGAACGAAGTCGTACTGCTGCCTGATTGGCATATAACAGTACTTAGGTGCTTTTTTGTTTAGATGACATCTATGCTACCTCTCCACCTCTGTGAAGGAAGGGTTTAGAATATTGTATATCTGGACATACCATGCGAAGATCCACAGCCAGCGGTAAGATCTTATTATGGAAGCAACTCTAAAAACCACCCTCAGCAGAAGCAGTATGTCAATTATTGTGAGTGAGGCGATATCAAAGCAGATATCAGTCAACTTTCAGCACTTAGAAGATGCATCAGTGTACTTTCCAACACTTTCTTCACGAATATATAATCTGGACTGTATAAAACGGATGAGTTGTGAAGTGAATTGTCTCAGCACACCATGCGGACTAACTTCTAACATCTCACTCCAATTTCAAGGATATCCACTGAATATACTCAGTGAATTCATTGAAAACAAAATAGTTTTCTGACCAGTTCCAAAATCCCTTCAATTAAGCTTATCTTAATCAATGAATAATCCCCATCTATACATTACAAAAAACAAAATACTTAGTTCAGCGAAGAGGCTCTTTTCGAAGAGTTCATTTTCCTGTTTAGCTGTACAGTTACGTTTATATAGTTCACTGACAACAATATCAAACCATAAAGTTCACAGAGATGAAACATTACCTGTTCCAAAAGAAAAAAAACAATTCATGAACCTCGATTTCAAGAGAGGATTTAACCTGCAGTATCCTTACGAGAAGAATTTCAGCATCTTTGAGAAGAACATTCATTTCAACAACTCTATGAGTAGTGCTGTCCAATTATACACTGGTCTGAAGAAGCTATAAGGCTAAGACCTCACATCTAACCACTTCTGAGTGAGTTTGCCTACAAACATAGTAGAAGTACTTTGGACGCAGCTGCAGACCTGCATCATAACATTGTCTCCAGCTTAGACAAGGGGGCTAAATTTGTTCGCTGCACCTTTCTAGATTATACATCTGCCTTCGACTCAGTACCTAGGAACAATTTACTAAACAAGCTTGCTGAAACTCAAACTGACTGTTGGGTTGTCAAATGGCTCCATTCTTATTTCTCAGAAAGAAAGCAATACACTGTATATCAGGGAAAGTCGTCCACTTCATTGCTTACTCAGGCTGGTGTCCCTCAAGGCGCTGTCCTTTCTCCTTTTCTGTTTTCTTTCTTCTTGCATGACTTGCCTCACTCCGAGGAAATGAACTTTGTTAAGCATGCCGACGATCTAACTATTTCAATGTCTGTTAACTCTCAACTTGACTGTATTAAGATTAACAACTTTCTATCAGAAATTAGCAAATGGTCTTCGTCTAACGGCCTTAAACTTAATCCTTCCAAATGTCAGACTGTTAATTTCACTTTCCGATGTAAAATAAAGTTAAATGAAGCCGTTGGTTCCTATGACCCTTGCAAAATTGATGATAGTGATATAGAAACCCAGTCTGAAGTTAAGTATCTTGGATTAGTTCTCTCTTCTGACCTATCTTGGTCTCCTCATGTCTTAGCGATTTCTCAAAGAATATTTCGTCTGACTTTTTACATTAAGAAGTTAAGGCACTCAGGCATAACGCAACCACTCCTCTTACAGTTTGTCAACTCGTGTATTTTACCTATTCTTCTTTACTGTTCACCATTATTCTTTCCTGGATTGCTAAAAAAGGACTATGTCATACTTCGTAGAACTCTGAGGACTGTCAGTAGGACTAGTGGTATCCCATTGGGCCATATCGTTGGCATTGTCACCGATAGGCATTTGATGTCATGCAACAGATTCGCTAGAGGAATTTTGTCAGACTCTGAGCACCCACTCTACCCTCAGCTCCAACCTTGTGTCTCCTCAGGTAAAACAAGAAGTCTTTTCAAAAGACTTCATGCACGTACGTCTAAGTATAAAAATTCCACTATACCATATTTAGCACGTACTCTATGTGATGAAAATAGTGTCAGAAATGAACTAACTAACCTTCTTAGCACCACTAAATAGACCATTTCCTTCAACCTTAAAGCATCATACTTTATTGTTATTGTATTTCTTATATTTATAATCCTCTCAATTTTTTCGTTTTGTTTATTTTATTTTTTATAACTGTGGACATAATTTTAAGCTGTATTATGACTGTTAACTTTGCATTTCACCTCACTATACCATATCAACAGAACATTAGACCCAATTATCCATAACATGCTAAAGTTTCCAAACTGAATCGACAATACCGTTTGAAACAAACTCACTGTTATTGGTATTTATTATTATTATTACTATTATTATTATTACCATATCTAATAATTATGTCGCTAATGTGGACAAATTTCTCCGATTAATGTTTGTTTTAAATTTTTAATTTTATATACACTTTGAGTAAATCAGATGCAATATTGTGACAAATGCTGAGAATTCCATTCTGTATTATAAGTACTGTTTTTGGAATAAAGTAAATTATTATTATTATTATTATTATATTAATTTACTTGTCCCTGCGAAGGCAGGTATGTCGATGGTTCGACGCGTATCTTGCCTAAAATGATTCAAGAACACTATCCTGCATGTCTACAGAAGAGTAATAGTGGCTCTATAAGGAATGTGATAATCGAATACCTTGTCAACACTGGTCATTACACCTCAACAAACGCCTCCTTCTAAGTAATCCACTAAGTGAAGACCGACCTGACAAAGGCAACACGACTTCATCTCCTTTGCATCGTTGATGCTTTAGGCATTCACTTAAAGGAACAGGAGCTATTCATGCAAAAGAAAGTCGTTCAATCAATTCCACCTTCATGGTAACAACTTTGTTGACTTGACTTTAGAACTCTTACATAATTCCATATTTTTCTTCGTTTCTATAAAAGGCATCCTGATTACAACTCATTCGTCATCCAATTATTCATCACATTACGTAA